TCTCACTATGTAGATCGGACTCATAGTGATCCTGTTTTTCAGCCTCCCAAGCACTAGGGGTCACCACACCCAGTCTCAATCACCATCTCAGCGCTTCCAGGGACAGAGCTGGAGGACAGGCTCAGGGATCGAACCCCCAGCCCGAGTCTGCCTAAGCAGGTGCTTTAGTCCTCTGAGCTATCTGGCTGGCCCTATCTGTGATCCTATTAACTCCTTCCATCATGGAGAAACTGAGGCCCGAGAGTCAGGCAGCCTTAGCCAAGGTCCCAGAACCAGACAGGCAGGGCCCAAACCTGCAGGCTTCTTTCATCTCTAGCCCAGGATGGCTGCATCTGCCACTCAGAGAGTCCTAGTCAGGACACAGGTTGAATATCAAACCTGTACCCACCCTATGCTTTCTCTTCTCTCCTCTTTGCTTCTTTTTCTTTGTTTCTTTCTTTTTTTAAAGACAACATCTCACTATGCAGTTCAGGCTGGCTGCGAACTCACTGTACTCCAGGTGGGTCTCCTCCTGCCTCAGCCTCCCTAGTGCTGGGACTACAGGTGTGAGCTACCAAACTGGCGGCCCTGTGCATTGTTGAAAAAACAGAAAGAAACCCACAGTGGTGGTCCACTTGCCCCCACTCCAGTGATACCACTTACCCCGTGCTTCTGGATGGCCACGTTGGTGAGATGGACAAACATGTTGTCTAGCTCGCTGGTGCTAGGCGTATACTTCACCGTGCAGAACCGGCAGAACCCAAGCTTGTACCTAGGTGGAGGTTCAGACTGAGTCAAACTCTGAGAAGACACAGAAGAAACCGGAGTGCTTCCTGCTCTGGAAAGAACTGTGCTCTGATTTGTCAGGTCCGCAATGGATCCAGGCCAACACCAGCCCCAACCCTGTGCCAGCAATGGTTGTACCAGGTGGTTGCATTACAACACGACACCTCGCGGTGGCGCTAAGGAGCTCCCTGCAGAAGGGCCGCTTACATGTAGCAGCGCAGCGGGCGGTAGGTGGACACCAGCACATACAGGCGCAGGTCAAACTTCCTCCCACCAATGAGCAGCGGGTTGCTGATATAGAGCGAGATGACATAGGCTTCTTTCGTAGATTGGGACACAAACCTGCACGTGCCAGGGAGTCACAATTATACGGTAGAAGACAGGACATCAAAGGCGCATCCCACACATGACCCCCGACCCTGCTCCCCATCACACTGAGCTGGCGATGGAGTCCGGGCATGGTGGCGCACGCCTTTAATCCCAGCACCAGGGAGGCAGAAATCAGGAGAATCACTACGAGTCCAAGCTGCGTGGTGAGACCCTGCCCACAAACACACACACACATACTTAAAACAAATAAGACACCCCTCCCCCCCCAGCTGGACATGGTGGCCCACATCTGTAATCCTAGGGCTCAGGAGGCTGAGGCAGGAAGATCAAAAGTTCAAACTCAGCCTAGACAATACAGTAGCTTAGGTAGAAGGCTTTTCTTTGGAGGCCCGAAGATGCCGTTAGGGCATTTCTGGTTTGCCGTGACTATCTGGGTTCGAACCACAGAAGCTTGAGCTTGAGGTCTTTGCTTAAGCAGGCACTTAAACAGCTGAGCTATTGGGCAGGCCCCCTGCAGTAGCTTAGGGAAACCCTGTCTCAAATTTTAAAGTTGTTTTTTTTTTTTTTTAAGGGCCTGGGGATGTAGCTCAAAAATTAAAAGAGCCTAATACAGACAATATGTTCAATCAGTGAGTGTCAGGCCGGGACGAAGCCAGGAGCCGGGCCCTGGGTGCCAGGAAGCACAAGCCTCGCTGCCTGACCTCGCTGCCCGCCCCTCCTCGTGAGCACAGCTGTCCCCGAGGCCCCCAGGGGACCACGTCATGGCCCCGTACACAGTCAGTAACCCTTTAGGCTGAGAGCCCTGCAGAAGCAGGCGAGGGCCACCACAAGATGGCAGGTGGCCGCCACCCCCAGCCCCCACACTTACGAGGTCGTCTTGCTGTCTCGGGACCACTTCTTGATCTGTGAGAGCTTGTTGATGAGGAAGATGCCCTTGCCCTGGGCCTTGCCGCACGGCTTCATGATCCACGTACTGGACGGGCTCTTCCGGAACTCCTCCACGAACAGGTTGTAGTCGGCGGGCAGCATGTAGGTGACCGGGACGAAGTCTGAGAGGGCAGACACCGCATGCTGGTCAGGAGCCAGCCCAGCAGAGGCCAAGATTGGAAAGCAATCGGCACTGCCTGTCAGGGCTTCTTGTCATCCTCTCCGCCCGTTTGTTTGTTTTGTTTTGCCTTTTGACACAGGGTCTCACTATATACCCCAGGCTGGTATCGAACTTAGGGAGATTCTCCTGTCTCAGCCTCCCGAGTGCTGGGATTATAGGCCACCACGCCCAGCCCCTCAGCCTCACTTCAGCACTGAATGTGACAAGGACTTGGGCTTCTCCATTCTTGCACCCACAGACAAGTGACCTCTGCCAAGCTCTGTGTGCAAAACTCAGCACACATTCTTTTGTTCCACCACAAGCTGTGAGCTGGGTGCTATCACTCCTGCCTAGCAGAAGAGGAAACTGAGGCTTGGAGGCTGCCTATATAATTCTGCCCCACATCCACTCAGCCAGCTGAAGACCCTAGAGGGAAACAGGTGCCCCCCAGATGCCACTGAAGAGCCAGGAACCCTGCACTGCCTGCGCCCAGACCTGCCCGCAGCCAGGGAAGGCACAGACCCAGATAGAGGTATTTTCCGTTCTCGTCCTTTTCCGCCAGGGGGCTCCCTTCCTTCTCCAGCTCCTTCCGGTATCTCTTGATGTTCTTCACCATCAGGTCCTTCCGCGTCAGCTCGTAGTGGTTGGGGAAATGGTTGACGATCTGGTCGTCCGAGAGCCGATACCCGGTCTCCACGCTGAACACATTCCGGATGGTCTGCACGCTCATCCTGCAAAGGCAGCCGCCGTGCCTGAGGCCAGCACCCTGCAGGCCCCGCCCGGCACGCCCAAGCCCCAGGGGCCCAGGGATGGCGCTGACACAGTGCACCCTCTGGCAGCGAACAGCCTGACTTACGAACAACCTCAGTTAGGATTAGCATTTTAGCTTTAACGTACGACCAAAGTCTCCCGCCCCGACCTAAGTGCAGGGCGCTTGTGCAGTTGTCAACAAAGACGCGAGACGCCAGGAACACGTACGTAGGCTTACGTGAGCGTCAGTCTGAGCCCAGACACGCGTGTTTGTGGGTGTAATTTCAGCCAGTGCTTTACAGCATCGCTGTGATTACTGCTATCAAGACGGCCTCACCAAAGCTAGAAAAGCTAAGGAGAGAAGCTAAAGACAACACAGGGCCGGCGAGGCAGCTCGGCCGACGAAGCTCCGCGTGCCGCCGAGCGGAAGGCCAGGGCCAGATTCCTCCGAGCCTGCGGAAGGGCGCGCTGCGGCCACCTTCCCTTCTGTCTCCCTCCCCGCAAGCCACCGAGGGCCCTGGGCATGGCAGGCAGGGTGTGAAATCACTGCTGGTAAGTGAGGTGCGCCCGATCGCTTGGTGGTGAATAATGGGAAAGTTACTGGTATCTGTCGTAAAGGACACACAGGATGCAGACCTTCTTAATTAGGAAACGGATGAGGGGTGTGTGGAGAGGATGGAATTCATTGTGAGTATTTCCATGACTTCTTTCTTTTTTGTCTTTTTGAGACAGGGTCTTGCTATGCAGCTCAGGCTGGCCTTGAACTCACTTTGTAGCCCAGACTGGTCTCGAACTTACGATCTTTCTGCCTCAGTCTCCCGAGTGCTGGGATTACAGGTACGCACAACCACACTTAGTTTTTTCAATGATTTCTTTTTTTTGTTTAATTTTTACATTTTGTGTGTGTGTGTGTGTGCGCGCGCAGCCAGCTCAGCCCACCAGGGGGCGGGGCTAGTTGGCATGTGGTGCTGGGGGATGGAACCGCGGTCCCAGTGCTTTGCCAAGCTTGTTCCAAGTAGGTGCTTTAGACCACTGAGCCATCTCTCCAGCCCCTTCAATGATTTCTTATGGGAAAAATACTAATTTACAACCTCGGAACACAATGCATTCCTAAGTCACGGCTCCGCTGTAACTTGGTAATGGATCATTGCAAAACGGATCGCTCATTTGCACAACATCTGCATTCAAACTCTGGAAGGCCGAGGACACCTTAAGACAGAAGTTACACGGGGTTCCCCTGTCCCAGGAGGGCCTCAAGGCTGCTCTTTTTCTTTGACCAGCTGGATTCACTTTCCACTGAAAATCGCACATGCGCACATCATGCAGGACCAACTGCAAAGTAACACCTACACCGCGAGCCATCACTCCTGCCAGCCCTGTCTTGAAGGCCACAAGAGCCAGCAGTGCTGGAAAGGAAGCTCCCTCCACCTAAGCGCAAGATCCAGCTTCTTTACTCACCAGTAAAAATTCCAGTCCTCGCTTTCCGTTACCTGGACCCATCCTCTCTTCTCAAAGTTGTTGATCAGCACTGACTTCTCGATGTCAGTCACCCACTTCACCTTCCCTGCCATGACCCTACGAGAGACAGTCATGAGGCTCTCAGACTCCAGCATCGTCCTCAGACCACGGCCTCCTTAACACCTGCAGAGCCGGGCGTGGTGGCCACACACGCCTGGGATCCCAGCATCTGGGAGGCTGAGGCAGGAGGACTGAAAGGTGCAGCCCCACCTGGACAACTTTAATGACTTAGTGAGACCTTGTCTCAAAATAAAAAGGGTTGGGGTGTAGCTCAAGGCAGAAGCTCTGAGTGCAATCCCAGAGAAGGGGTGGAGGTGGCACGGTGTGACATTTGCTATTGTCAGCCCCTGCCTTCTCATCCTAGGGACTGGGAAGCTAAGGTCAGTGGCTAAGAGCCTGTATCAGACTCAGAGCCTGGGAGTCATGACAGCCCACTGGACCCAGAGCCATCCTGGTGTGATGTGCCACCCTGTCCCCTCAGCCTGTCTCCTTCCTCTGTGAAGGTGGCCATCAGCAGAACAATAGCCACTCACAGGTTAATAGGAGGGACAACCAAAGTTGCTATCACCAAAGGGGTGGTGTCATCAACCGTTACAACTGAGTGACCCGGGAAGGCCAGCGGCGGGCTGCAGGCTGTCACCCTACCCCAGAGCAAGCGCCACAAGCTTCCCACCATGAAACAGTGTGAAGCCTGGTGGGAGAAGGAATTTCACTTTGTGGGTTGTTTGAGGGGCAGTTCTGGGAATTAAGCGATAGCCTCACACGAGCTACCTCACCAAACCATTTTCATAGTTATTTTTTTGATATTGGATCTCACAAAATTCCTAAATTCCCCAAATTGTGCTCAAACTCAAGTCTCCTGCCTCAGCCTGCCAGTGGACCAGGGATTCCAAGCATGTGTCCCCTCCCCCCACCGGAGACTTTACATTTTTACCATTTAATTTTAGCCTCACAGTGCTGGACCCCAGCCTCTGTTCTATACTCCACCCAGTCTGACTGCAAAACCAGGATTGCAGGGAGACCCCTCCCCCACCCCAGGGACACCCATGCCATTACTGCAGGGTGACCCTCACATTAACTCACTGGGGGGCCCGTGAGCCGCTGCCTCACCCTGAGGTGGCAGGAGAAGGAAGCACTGTGACCCCAGAGAATAAGGGCAGCACAGCGGATGAGGCGGTTTGGCTACCCGCAGTGCCCTACGTTCTCCTTTGAACTGGATTAGGGGAGTCCTAGCAGCCAGGTATGGGGCACACGCCTGTGACCCCAGCACTTGGGAGGCTAAGGCAGGAGGACTTCCACAAGCTTGAGACTCCTGGGGCTGGCTGGATCATGGGGTGCTGTACCTCGCAGATTCATCCACAGCTGGCTGTGCTGTTCAGAGCACGCCTATCCCAGACGCGGCTGCAGACTGTCCCTCGCTGTCGCTCTGCACTTACTTTGCTACCTGCCATCATGAATGGAGCAGCTCTGCTTGTCAGGCCCATCTGCCATGCTGCCCCTTCTGGAGCCAGCCCACCATGGATGGGACTCTGAGACTGAACCAGGCTAAACCTCTTCCCCTAAGCTGTGGGTATTGGGTATTCGGTCCCAGCCAGGGGACAGCTCACCAGTACAGTCCCCAGCCATTCCGGGATGAATGTCCTCATCCTCGTTTTGCCCAGCAGGAAGGAGAGCCCAGGAAAAGATGGCCTTCTGCCAGATGTGGGGGCCCCTCCTGATGCCCCTCCACCCTGCAACACAGCCTTGCAGAGCGCCCACACCACACTCACCGTAGGCCCTCCTGGAGCCGCCAGGCTGCCCACAGCTCCTTCAGCTGCACTGACGCTGGCTCTGGAGCTCACCTGACACGGAAGGAACAAGGGTGAGTGGCACAGGCCCAGGAGGCACCTGACTGTGTCACGCATGCAGCTGGAACATCGACGGCAGCTTCCTTGTGGCGGGCTGCGCAGGGCCGCCTGCTCCTCTTCCTCCGCTGCAATACGGGTTCCTTCCAGCCGGCACTGTAGTGGCCGCCAGGGCCTCCAGCACCTGTGCCAGGTCAGCGCGCCGCCTCTGCGCCCACTCTGGCTGAGATGAAGGATCCTGAGTGACCTCAGGCCTGGGCTCCAGCTCCTCCTGCTATTATCTACTGCGTGCACCCTGCACCCCACATGGTGCCGCTTTCCAGGGGGCAGAGCAGGGCTCTGCTATGGTTTCAGTGTGGCCCCCAAAGGCCCTTGTGTTGGAACCCTCATCCCCAAATCTACACGGCCTCTGGAGGTAGCATCCTTGGAGCAGATGAGGACCGGGCGAGGTCAGGAAGTAAGGTCCCATAATGCACTGGCGACCTTAGAGGAGGAAGAAGCACACCTGGAGCCCCAGCACTTAGCAGGCTGAGGCAGGCCGCGAAGAAGGGGCGCCGAGAATTTGAGGCCATCCTGGGCTACACAGTGAGGTGAGCGCCAGTCTAAACTATATAAGGAGATCCTGACACAGAACAAATTTTTTAAAAAAGAAACTGACGAGGAAGGCCTGACCTGGTTGTGTCTCCCCATGCCAGACAGGTGGGCTCCATGAGAAAAGACACTCCGCTCTGCCGTCCCTTCAGCTGAGTCCCCAGCGCCCAGCACCGCGGCTGGCAGCAGCAGGTGCTCAATAAATATTTGATGACTTTTTAAAAGTAAATAAATGAATTCTCCCAGCACAGGACCTAACAAGTACTATTGTGACAACCAATAATAAGCAAGGTCCAGCCCTCCAGGGTGAAAAGGCCTTCAGCCCCAGGGGTCCTGACCCCCTGCAGGCATTACCCTCCTGGCCAAGACAGCTCCACTCTCCAGAGAAAAGAAGGAAAGAACACACTCCCAAGACCCATCCCTCTTCTGGGTCTGGCCATAAAACAACAGGAACCCTAGCCAGGAGTGGTGACACACACCGGTAATCCCAGCATTAAGGAAGCTGAGGCAGGAGGATCACCATCATGAGTTCAAGGCCAGCCTGAGCTACACAATACCTCCCTGCCACACACACAAAGTTGCTAAGTTGCCGAGGCTGGGTTGGAGCTTGGCATCCTCCTGCCTCAGCCTCCTGAGTGCTAGGATGACAGGTGTGCACCTGCACTCCTGGTTGATCACTTCCATTTTCAGCAAAGCCCCAACTAGGCCAGGATTCCCCGACTTCTGGATTTTTCTCCACTAGCTTTCTTTGAAGAGGAGAAAAGAGTCATCTTTTAAGAAAACAATAGGGGGCTGGGGAGATAGCTCAGTAGAATAAGCGCTTCCCTGGCCCTGAGTTCAATCCCCGGTTCCCGGTTCCAACAAGAAAAAAATAAAACAATAAAGAGCCGTTAGTGGGGGCTCCCCGTGGGTGGGGTGCGTTCACTCCCAGACCTTTGATCCCTGTCCTCTTGGCGCCCCATCTGGCCGACAGTGCCGTGTTGCACAGTGGCAGTCCGCCGGTGTCTGTAGTCCCTGCGACCTCGAGGCAGCTCTCATGATGTGCCCACCAAGTGTTTCCTGAACAAAGAACCTGCTCCGTGAATTGCAAACCGGCTTACAATGCTAAGAAAGTTTGGCTTTAGGGTTTGTCTCTATACTGGCAGCGCATGACAAATCCCACTTGCCCCGTCCTGTCACCTAGAGAAGAAACGAACAGGGAGGGGAGCCAAGGCTCCGCTCTCCTACCCCGCGTCCTCCCCACGGGCACAGCGCTCCCCGCAGCGGAACGAGCGGGAAAGGCTAGGAACAAGGTCCAGGGGAATCAGGAATAAGAATGACGACGCAGTGACAATAATCGGACAGCACGAGGTGAGTTCCGGGAATTCTAAAGAGGAAACAGACACAGTGGCCAACAGTTATCAGGCACAACGCCGACCCGGAGAACCGCGTCCAAGCGGCGGCCGCGCAGACTAGCCGCCCACACCGGTCCGCGCATGCGCACTGGCACGCCCGCGGGCACACCCACGGCTCCCGGGAGGCGGCGGCGGCCGAGGAGCCCCGACCTCACCTGTGGACTCCGTGGGACACCGCCCCGCAAGGTCCCTCGGGCCCGCCCCGGGCCTCGCTCAGCTGCTCGCGCGAAGACAACGCCCACAGCCGGCCGACGGGCCAGGCATTCGCGCTCCACTTCCGGGGCGTCTCCCTGGCAACCGTGGACGCTACCGCCGGCGCCACGACTACTTCCGGTGTCGGGCTTTCGCGGCTTTTCTCTACGCCCGGGTCCCCGCAGCTGAGTGCAAGGGGGCTAAAGTCTCAAGAGACGCCAGATCGCCTACCCTCGCAACTTTTAGGACTCAGAAAGGAAACAGCAGAGCCTAGGGCGTGGGATTCAGCCTAAAAGTGGGAAGGAGAGCGGCATAAGGTCCCTGGACCAGTCCGCTGCTTACCATCGCTGAGCTTCCCCATTTGGAAAATTAATGCTGTAAATCGGTTTACCTTTACATTATTGTAGGACAATAGGAACATACTGCCGAGCGCCAGCTGATCCATAGGTGGCCCCTGAGGGTCACGTCCTTGGTTCAGTATTCTTTAAAATTAGTGTTTTAAAAGTCCCTTCTATTTAGGAAAAAGTAGCCTCACCCAAGGAGAAATTGAAAACCGAAACTACTTGGATCTGAATGTCAGCTCCCCAAACCGACTGTGTGACTTAAGCAGGTCACTGTGCTTCCCCCGAGCCTGTTTCCTGGGTCTGTAAATTGAGGGAGACCATCTACATTGAAGGATTGTTGGAAGGATTTTTTTTTTTTAAGAGCAAAACACAAACAGCGTAACGTGATTGGCATAGCGTGTCACGCATAGCTGGTCGAGTACTGTGGAGTCGGCTCATACTAGAAGAGCACGCGTCCCAGATGTCCCTGGCTATGAAAGGGCTCGCAGAGGCAGCGCGGGAGAGGAGACCATGAGGGCCACGGGAGGCCTTGTACCTCCTGGAGGCAAATCCCAGCTTCTCTGTTGGGATTACAGTTTGTTGTTCACTGTGAAGTGAGACTAAGGGTCTCCACCTCCGAAGATGCTGAGACGGTTTTAAATCCCTCGTGCATAGCACCTAGCAAGGTGCGGATGCTTTACCAGTTCCTTTTCCCCAAGCAGCATACGCAGCCATCCCAGAGTCTGTCACCAAGAGCCACAGCACCAGGAGGCGCTGATACACATGGCAGGAAAAGACCAACAGCATCGCTGAATATGCAGCAGGAAACACTCTGGCCTCTTTGGGGAATTAGCTGGAACTAGGGATCCCCAAGAGGAAATGACAGGAGACTAAGCGGGAGGCTGAGGCAGGAAGATTACAAGTTCCATCCTGCTCTGGACAACTAAGTGATTAAGAGACCTTGTCTCAAAAAACAAAACAACACATGAGGGATGGTTAAAAACTAAGGGTCTAGGGCTGGTGAGATGGCTCAGTGGTCTAAAGCACCTACTTAAAACAAGCTTAACAAAGCA